TCTTCGGTTCCTGAACATGAATCATGCTGAAAATTTGTCAGAATCTTCCAATCATACTTAACTACCGAACCTAATTTAGTTGGGAGAGATTGGCCTTGATTAAGAGGTCTAAAAATGACAAAATAGGTATAAATTCGTTGATAACTCAAATTCTGATCATCGAAATTGCTCAAACTAAATTAGGTTCAGTAGAACATAAGTGTTTACGTAAGCTGACCAAATTTCAACAAAATTGTTATACGGGAAGTATCATAACTTTTCGATTGTTTCCAAAATAATGTGCTGGCCGAAATAAGAGCTAAAAAACCATTCAATGGTCAGCGCGCGCGTCTTATTGTCGATGGCGCACTGCCTATTACAACCTACCAGGACGCGCGCCAAGTTGGACTCGTCGACGGTCCTGTAATATATGGAACAGATATTTTACGAGTATCATGTATCACCCGTTTTACTGGGCCCACAGGAGGAGCAAAGTGCAAAGAAACTACCACAAACTGCTACAAACTGGCAGTTAGTAGCAGTTTGTGACAGTTAGTGCCCGTTTGTCGCAGTTTCTTTGCACTTTGCTCATCCTGTGCACTGTGGGCCGCACTCAGCCTGTCATTCCGCCGAATCTCTATTCTATTTATGTTCATGTTTATGAACATGATAGCCTGAGGTCCCCAGGTAACACCCGTTAAGGGATTAGAGTTGATTGACAATGTCAACCCTTCCAGATCGTTGCTCTGCGAAGCAGAGCAACGATCTTGTCAGTTGATTCACGATGTCAATCCTTCGCATCTCGCCGATATGTGGTTGCGAGAAGAATTATTTGATGCGCGGCGCGACCCAGTAGTGCATCGCGCTACAATCTTGTCAGGTCTTGTCTTCGATGTCAGATTTTGTCTTCGATGCGAAGCAAGAATGCTAGTTTGCGCGGCGAAGTCTTCCAAGGATCAGAGTCCAGAGTCGAAAACGTTTTTACTCCACTTCCAGTTCCAAATACAATTACAGGTACGAGAAAGAATCCCCTTTATAATTTTCATTTTATTATACAATTCTAAATTGTTTAAGGCTATATAAAGCTTTGTAGCGCGATTATTGGGCCGTGCACTCAATTATGCTTCTCGCAAGATCGGCGAGTAAATGCGCTACTGGGCCTCTCCGAGCTGCGATTGAGATATTTACTCTGATCACGCGCATTGTGATGCGCGTCTTTACAAATTGATGACGATTTGTACTTTCTTTACACAAAATGGTCATCTAGCACGTGTAAAAGAGCCGCGCATGGCCAGCGTAGTCAAACTGGGAGCGTTAAAATTGATATTTTTACGATCTGGACAACATTTTAATTAATGTCAGGTAGTCGTCCATTAGGAAGGCTGTCATTTTAAGTGCACCTTGCAAACCAAAAGTCCTGTCGAATTGAATTAATGCATACGTATGTTTCATTTAGACACGAAGGGAAACACGCTATGTTAAATTGAATCCTTCGTAAATAAATTACATCTGTACAACATTTTAGATACAAACTTTTACAAGAAAAATTTATATAATCATTAAAAGTAAAACCTATTAACTCGAACGTAAAAAAGTTAAAAGCCAATTTAATCAAAATCTATTTCTGGGTATAATTCCACTCGGGAAATAGCAGCATTGAAACAACATATGAAATGGCATTAAACAATCTTAATTAAATGTTGAAAATAGTAAATCTAAGAAGAAATTGTTACTAGAGATAAATATAAAACAAAAATGCACTAATAGTAATTAGTCTAGAAACCCGCTGTTCCGTTATTGAATATCAATAATGCTGAAAGTTCTTGTTAATACAGTCACGATAAAGTATTATAAACAAGCATACTATCATCTCTTCCAAATACCTGCTTTATTTACACTTTACAGTTATATTATATGAAATATATTTATATTAAGATCAGGGACTAAACATTTACAAATACCGTTCAATTTCTATTCTATTGAATCCCCAAAAGTTTTAAATTTTGAACAAAATCTTGCTTCTTCCCTATCTGTGAAATAAATAAGGGGCTAAACATTTACAAATACCGTTCAATTTCTATTCTATTGAATCTCCAAAAGTTTTACATTTTGAACAAAATCTTGCTTCTTCCCTATCTGTGAAATAAATAAGGGGCTAAACATTTACAAATACCGTTCAATTTCTATTCTATTGAATCCCCAAAAGTTTTAAATTTTGAACAAAATCTTGCTTCTTCCCTATCTGTGAAATAAATAAGGGGCTAAACATTTACAAATACCGTTCAATTTCTATTCTATTGAATCCCCAAAAGTTTTGAACAAAATCTTGCTTCTTCCCTATCTGTGAAATAAATAAGGGGCTAAACATTTACAAAAACCGTTTAGTTTCTATTCTATTGAATCCCCAAAAGTTTTTAATTTTGAACAAAATCTTGCTTCTTCTCTATCTGTGAAATAAATAAGGGGCTAAACATTTACAAATACCGTTCAATTTCTATTCTATTGAATCCCCAAAAGTTTTAAATTTTGAACAAAATCTTGCTTCTTCTCTATCTGTGAAATAAATAAGGGGCTAAAAATTTACAAATACCGTTCAATTTCTATTCTATTGAATCCCCAAAAGTTTTAAATTTTGAACAAAATCTTGCTTCTTTAAACGAATAGTAATTATTCATTATATAATTGACATTTTGATAGCGTTTTTCCATTTTATTGCCACATCCCAGTCCGCAGACGTACACGTAGCTCCAATCCCGTTTGAAACCTCCTTGAAGTTACGGATGTAGGAATCAGGATTGTCAGGCTTATGTAGTCCGCTCATATTCCAACTGAAAAAAAAGTTATTAACCTATTGGATTAAAGATTGAAATTACATGAACACAATTTTTGTGTCATATAAATCATCACTGAAATGCTCAAAATTCTTTTCAGATCAATTCCCATATCGGACGTTTTTAATTGTGACTATTAGATCCTAGTAATAAGACGGCACCGTAACGCATTTGAAACTTACATACCGTATTTTTAATCAACCTTAAAGTTAATACAAATTAGTAACTTACAGCAAAATTATTCAGGAAATATCCTCGGCCATGACACGAACTGTTGATTTTCGTTTGTCCCTGAAAAATTGTTTATGGTAATTTCACCGAATATATTAGCTTATATATTAGCAGCTATCTACAATATATATTATTGCTGTAAGCAATTTTTACAGAGCAGTTCGTAGATTAAAGAAACTAACTTATAGAACATGATACCCACATAATAAATGATAAGTATAAAATGTATAACTATTTTACCTGAGATTTTGTTATTGTAAAATCGTCTGAACTTGAAGAGTAATTATTATCATCTGAAGCTTAGGCAATACGGCTTGTTTTTGTCTGCGTAGAGTGCAGTTTTTCCCCAGTTTTTGTAACCATCCTATGAGAAAATAAGGTTCATTGATAAGACATGAACATATGTATATTGATTTAAGAAGACGACCACTATATCACAATTTTGGAAATTAAATTATATAAAATAAATTCTACGGCACATCTATAGTCAAGCAGATGCTGAGATATTACAGTATGATCTCAACTAGGTCGTAAAGTGCGCAAAATACAACAGCATGGCACTTCACAAGGATAAATTTGAGCTACTCATCATTGCATATTGCTGAAAAATGAATCATGATAATTTCAGCTTAGCGGCTATCATAAGTAAGTTTATTAAAATGTTCCACTGTAAAACTCTGTTTCAAAAATTCCCAATTTATCGACATTTAAATAAAAACCTTTTATAGTTGTATTTGACAAACATTTCGCACTTGAGAATTATAGTCATCAGCTAAAACACGCAAAGCAAGGCATAAGGCAAGTCGACTTGTTTTTCTCCTGTAGACAGTAGAGTTGTGTCTTGGTAACCATCCTATAAGAAAATATCATTTATTGATAAGACATAAACATATTATATCTATGAGCGACAGATTATGAGATTACCATTATATAATCAGATATCAGAATTTTGGAAATTAAATTAGAGAAATATGTGAATCAAGATTAAATAGGTATTCACTTCATATTCTTGCTCCAAATATGATAACTTGGTTAGTAGATACAATAATGATCAGGAAATATGTTAGAAAATTAGCAGTACACATTAAAAAACAATAAAGATTATTCGATAAACTATTTTATGCTGTGTTTCAACTTTCGTAATTCGTATTGATCTTATACCGCCTGATTAAAATGTAAGACAATTAAATGTTAGCGCCTCGTTTATCGATATCGAGAAGACTTTTTAGCACGATACATTCAAGTGTAGCCTATAAATCAAGTATGAACCGTGTAACGGAATATTTAAACCTTATAAGGAGCGCTACTTTGTACGGTCCTCTGATTACAAATTTATGATTTATGTCACTTGATATCGGCGCGCCGCCCACGTGATTTCTCAAAGAATATTTCTAGGTGATTCTGTTAGCGACCTAACCAGTTTCGGTAAAAATGTAAAATGTACTGAAGATGGCATGAACAGTGTACACCGAGATGTAAGGGAGATGTAATACATGGCATGTAGAGACATATTTAACATATAATATACATTATAAACTTAACTTAAATTTGAAATGCTTTTACTGGGCACATTGCTTTTACTGGGCACATTTACGGAATTGTCACGTGGGTATCAGCATTTGCAAAGAATATAAGAAGCTCGGAAGTCCATGACCACATCCAAATATTATTTTAAAATATTATATATTTTAAAATATTGTTATGACTGAAAATCAAAATGATCCGTGCTATATTTAGGAAACCTAAGTATAATATTAAGAAGTCGAGTACACAATTCAGTGTATTGAACAACAAGCTATACTACAAAACCCCTCAATTAATTAACGCAGAGATATAAAAGTCGTAATACCTTCAATTATAAGGTATTATTGTTATAAGGTATTATTCTTAAAACCGAGCTCTTTGCTCCACCCCGGCGATCCAGTGACTGCATAACTTAACTGTAAAATTATCTGTTGTCAAATTATTTGTTATCCCGCAGTCGCCAGTTATAGGCTTCTGTGTACTCCAGTTCCTGAACCTTTTTAAATACTGTGACTCACTCATCAATACCACACAAATCCCTCTACATTTAATTATTACATTTTAATATTCCTCTAATACCAGCTTCCTCCTTCGTTGAAAAATGAATTTGGGTGAAATTAAACCACTTTTAATGACTATTCAATATTTAAATTGGAAAGTTAAATAAGATATTTTGATGGGTTTGATGTTTTATGAAATGTCAAAAAACTGGCAATAGCGATACTAATTGGGTATCTAGATGATTTTGGTTTGGAATGACCTAATAATCAACGATTACACTTGACTACACTCAGCTACTAGAGTAATAGACACTCGACCGTACGATAGCAAACCTATATCAGATTTAAGGAAGAAAATCAGGGCGGGCAACGACAAATACAATGTTTACATTGCTGACAGGTGTCCAGAATTTTCTCTGTCCTATTCCCCGTAAATCCAGTTTAGTATCTCAATAAGCAACCAAATCAATCGTTACCATGATAAATTTGACCAAAAGTTGAGAAAAATAGACACTGCTCTAAACACGGTAACTACATGTGCAGCAGCATTTCAAGGTTAAATTGCAGATATGCAAACAGTAAGATATTATGGCTTGTATTGTAGGGAATTACTAAAACACAGTAATGGTCCTGTTGCTTTGGAAAATAAAAGAGCAACAGTTTTCAAATACGTATTTTTAAACGTCTTCATTATCATGTCTTCCTGGTTATGTTTGAATACATTCAATTAAGCAGATTGACTTAAGACCAGCAGTCATCACGTTATCATGCGAATCATTATAATTGTAAAGAAGAATTGATATCAGAGCACTCAAGTATCGTAAGTTAATTGTTAAACCAACGAAAACAGCATTAACATTGCACTATGAGAGTTCGATGATCACAACTTCGATAAGTAAGTAGAATTAAAATTGTTGAACGGTAATCTGTTGAATATTAACAGTCGAAGTTTGAATATTCATAAACACAATGTAAGGTAAGACAAAAGTGGAGACAAAAACAGACTCATAACGATCGACAAGTTTGGAGCATACAGACACAGTTTAAGGAATATACGTACCTACTTTAACTAATTTGAACAAACAATTTCGTTGCAGAGTCAGAATGATATTAATGTATACATTATTTAAGTCAAAGTTACACAGTTGATTGTGCTGAGGATTTACAATTTCTGTTTAGAACCTTATCAAAGCGGAGCCAGTGGAAATACTGACGGAGAAGATCATGGACAAAGTCAATAAAATCTAGAGAAGATTTCAGCAGGATAATAACAAGAAAAACTGCGGGTTACTAAATTTTATCAAATTCTTGATCGATTATTGTATCAAACCATGTATTCGAATCAAATCGGTTCTCACCTTTTTGCCAACTGCTGCTGTGCTGAGTCAAAATCTACAGAATAACGAAAAAAATATACAGAACAGGGCCGTTAGAATTATGATTAGTCTGTTAAAAATGGCAAACAGTCCTTCGACAGAATGTTTTCCCTACAGTTGAGAATGTGAATGTATCTTAATTGAAAGTAAATTACATATATAAACTAGAAAGAAAGTTGTAAATATTACTAGACTTTATAATCGACTGACCGACAGCTATCCAGCTAGAAAAAGTAAAATCACGCTTGGCGATTACAAACTTCTGGCATAAAAACAGTAAGAACGAAAAACTGAGCTAAGAAAACAAGCAAAGATCTCTAGAGCAAGAATGAAAAACGACATCAAAATGGAACTATTTCTGTCCTATCCGATCAAAGACCCACAACCTAGTAAACTAATTCCACTAGTAGGCCTAATATAGCAATTATTCAATTCCTTTTTAAAAGGATTTTCATTAAAATGGTCTTAATCACTATTTTTACTACTTCATTATATTAAAATAACTAGTGTAACCCGGCCTACGGCCGGGATTTCACTGCCGCAGTTAAAAAGGGTAGAAGTAATTACCCGCTGAGTCAAAACCCGCATTAGGTGACCCAATAGTTTCTTAAACAATAATCTCATAATCAGTTATTTCTAGTGGATAATTAAGTCATTATTAGCCATGAGGCACCACACTCCATGATCATAAGGTCTGAACACCGAGTATTACACCTCATCACTCCCGTCTTGAACCGCTTTCTATTTTCATTTAAATCGTTATAGAAATTAACCCTTGTTAACTCCGCACCACACCCGCATATTATATTTGAAAACACGCATAACATTGTCGTATGAACTCTCTCTCTCTCTCTCTCTCTCTCTGCAGTCCAAACAGACCCCAAACACTAACAGTCCCCCCTCCCCTAATAAGCTTAAGGTATAACATTACAGCGAAACTTCCGGGCTAATCCAATTATGACGCTACTTAAATGCAGCTATAACATATTACACAGTAATGAGAGAGAGAGAGAGCAATCCCCGTAACTCTTGCCGTTCTGCTCACGCAATTTTATGTAACATTTGTGGTACAAAACCATCAATTAAACCACTTACCATCGGCCGATTTTTAAAAAAATTTCCTATGGGCTTCATCAGAGTTTTGTCGACACTATACCGAAAAAATCAGTCCCGTAACTCTTACCGTTTTTTTTGTATAACCGACCGGAAATTACACACGGACAGACAGACAGACAGACACACACACACACACACACACACATTCTGGTGTTATTAAGGTGATTATTTGAAAACTACTTCAGTCAACAAAAATGTATCAACTTGCATACAACATAAATAAATAGGAGTTCAAATTTGTTGCAACCCTATCCGTACGAAGACAATTTTGTAATATCCAACGCGAAATATTGTCGACGATATCCACCACGGTTGTAAAATTAAGTTACAGAAGCGCATGTTTAAACTCATTCTTAGCTAAAGTTTAACAAATCAAACCCAAAAATTTTTCTTTAAATTTATATGAATATTTAATACTAGCATTTAATTATATTTTACATACTAATTATAATAAATTGGATGTCATTTATATAATTTAAAACGATGCAACAGTGATATGCCAAGTAAATCGGCGCGCGGCGCAGCAAATCGTCCATATTGGATTTACAACCAAAATTTGCTTGTAGAAAAAGTAATTACTCCCTCCCTTCGGTGCGAAGCAAGAATGCTAGTTCGCGCGGCGCGTCGAAGTCCTCCAACATAAACCCTAATCCCAACCCTAACCCTAACCATAACCCCGAAGCTATCCATAGCCCTTACCACAACCCTAACCCTAACCCGAGTCCTAAAAAATCGAATTCATGTTTTACTAGCCTGTCACGTGACCAAAACGGTTTTTTGCCCATAACTCTCCAGGCCCAGGGAAGCATTTTTACCCTACGTCATGGGGGGTGATTCGGAATCAGCGTTCAAAAATACACCGATTGAGATCAATTTCATACCGAAAGGGCCTTTTCACAAGAATTTTCTTAAAATTTGGGCGAGCGATTTAGTAGAAGCGTTTATTTAGTTTGGTTGATCCTGAGCCGAATCAAGATGAGATGGTGGCAAGCTGCTTGACCAGCTAGTTCAACGCTTGTCATACCGCATACGTTGTATGACCTTGTATCACGTCGTTTCACTAGGTGACGATACAGGGGGAGCCGCGCACTCGTGCGCGGCTCCCCCTGTATCGTAAACGACCGTGGGGGTCACGACGTAGTACAATTCAACGCAACGAAAATCAACCAATTTCGTCACATTACGCGACTTTTATACTTACTATATATATATACTGAATCTCCAGTAGGTATGACAAATTTGGTATCGTGAAAAGGCTTTGTATCACTTCGTGACCCCCACGGTCGTTTCACTAGGTGACCTTTATCGTCCTGACGTTACAGGCGGGTCATACAACGTATGACAAAAAAGGCTCACACTCTCTAAAAAACAATGGTACACCGTACAAAAATTTCGAAAATCCGAGCAAGTTTATTTTTATCGTGCACCTCCTAGTAAGAGCCCTACTAGTACTATATTTGTATAACTATAGCTACATTAATATTATACTGGCTCGCGCGCCGCACATCGCAAATAATTAATTGTTAATGCTCTCTGATCTCCACCATATCATGTACGCACAAACACTGCATTATAAATATTATCATTGTGGCGTTCATTGAATGTTGAAGATAATATCTTATTCTTAGCCTGTCATTACGCCATATCTTAGATATGGCGTAATGACAGACTGAGTGCCGGTCGTCAGCTCGTCATGATTTGTGGACGGTTTGGATTTTCACGAAATTATAAACTCGAGGCAGCCTGCCAAGAACCCAATTAAATTTAAGAATTTTTATAAATACTGCCAAAGTCTGACGGGCGATGCCGATACGCGTTCAAATTGCTTTGAAAAAAGATTATCACACATCAGGCTAGTAGTATGGATTGAACTAGTAGTATGGATTGAACTAGACAATTTCCTACTACACTTACAATTATAAAACCCGATTTACCGCGCCCGCGCTCCGGCCCCCGATTTACCGCAAACCCGCGGCTACTTCCTTCCCACAAATAGCAAATAGGGCTTAACATGCATAATGTGAACAAACAAAACCCCGATTGTTTCCTTTCCCCCAAACTCAGCAGTAAATCGGGGTTCTAGTACTGTAAATAGTTTATAAGCGGACTTTTAAACCCGTGAGGCGTAAATACACAGAACTAGAACTCAATAATCAATGTCAGAATTATAATGTTAATGATAAACATATCTGGTATAATATTCAAACACAATTTTCTAGAAGTGAATAGATTCAAAGAGTGTGTAAAGAATCTTTATTATGAAATATTGAGAATAAAAATCAACCGTGAATATTCAATATAACAGAGAATGTTGACTTTTCGTGCACGTGGAGGGCATGTAACATACTGTTGTGAAAAGCTTCGATACAGTGGAACGTTTATGATCAATTGTGAATATATTTAGAAAATATAAATTACAGCCTACACGACGTTTTAGTTTTTAGAATACTTACAAACTCTATGTAACCATGTTATGTATATGCATACCATGCAATGATTGGATCACTGTTGCAAAATATTGGTCTCACATTCGTCAGGATAAGGCTTCAGTGTCATATACAAAAATATAGGTACTGAAGTGAAATGTAGCATATTAGGGTCCCACAGAGACGAAATCATGAAGCAATGAGTTAGCAGACCAATCACGTCGGAAAACCGCTCCACGTGACTAATCGTCAGCCAATCAGATGTAAGTTGACACGTGTGCGCGCGGCTCTCTTGCCCTCCATCTGAGTAACCACAGACTCGCAACAAGGATCAAATAATTACTTCAAATTTAATTGATTTAAAAAGAATAATTTATTAATAATAACCTGTAATAACATTATAACACTTAATTTTCTTAATACATAATTTACAATAAATCACAAGACGTAACACCAACATAATCGTGCCTGAATATTATTATTAATAATATTAACAATATTAATAATGATGATATCATTAATATTATCTTAAATATTGTCAGCTTCCTTTATAACTACATTGACATACAAACGCAACACAGATCTCATAACAACCGCGTCGGTGGTGTGACACACACAAAAAACGTTTGTTAAACCGGTTTTCAGGCACAAATTTTAAGAATAATCCTAGAATGTACAAGAGATGTTTATCAGATGAGAACTTAACCACAATTTGAGAACCGTCATTTTGAGAACCGCCATTTTCTTTCCTCTCGCACACATCGGTATAATATCCAATCTGGAATTCTTGGAAAACTGTTCACTTTCAACTTTGCAGGTCAGAGACATTGAAGTTAAAAAATTGATAACATTGAAGTTGAATATCTGTTGACGTTAACATGTTATTGTTAACGTTGTTAACACTTGCATCATCCTCAGTGATCAAAGCCAGTGGGGCTAGGAGAGCAATCCCGGAGAACTTGATTAATCTCATTCTCAATGTTCTCTATAACATCCAAACTATTTAATCGGCTGGGAGTAGCGATATAGCTTTGTTCATCAGATGATCTGGAGGGCATATTTCATGTTAAAATACTAAAATAGCAAAGTTTCAATCATCTGACTGTAAATACATTTATACGTTATCATTTTGCAAAATTGTGGCCCAAATTGCTTGCCACAAAACGGAACACAGAACAAAGATGGTACAGGATTTAACGAGACTCACCGCTTCGTAATTTTCTTTCTCTTTGCAGGTTTTTCGGTCGCAGCCGAAGTCTTCCTAGGTCTCCCTCTTCCTCGACCTCCACCTGTAAGCATTGTATCGGTTAATAATCTTACAATCTATACTAATAATCTCAATAAATGTGTTTGTCTGTCTGTCTGTAATTTACGAATGGTTAAATCAAGAAAACGGTAAGAGATATGCGACTGGTTTTTTTTCGGTAAAGTGGCAGTGCCGACAAATCTCTGACGAAGCCAAATGATTAGGGTTTTTTAAATCGGTCAGTGGTATTACCACTGACCGATCTAAAAAACCACTGAGTGGTAAGTGGTTTAATTGATCATTTTGTGGCCCAAATGTGATACTAAAGAGTGTGTGTGTGTGTGTACTCTCCTCTCTTTTAGGTGATTAGGCAGTGGACTGGTGGACACTGGACCTCAAGATTGCCTACCAAGTATTACTATTAGATACATGAGGGGCACTCAGAATTAAATTGTGGTGTGTTTGGACTGAGCGAGACTTTCGCACCGTTTTAACGACTAAAATAAGTGTTTTCGAATATAATAGGCGGGTTTAGACGTTTACATTTCAACTGCGATAGTGAAGTCCGGGCCGTAGGCACGGGTTACACTAGTATTATAATATTAAAATAGGTATACACTTCTTTTGCAGCATAATGTTTTCAATGTTATCGTTAAATTTTACGTATTTTATCCCAGAAATTAGAAGATCTACTAACGGTACAGATTAGCGATGGGCGCTGCTTAATGCTTATATAGCATCTATGACCGAGTGTCGTCTTGCGACCGAATTAGAAAAACGCACAATCTCAAAAGTGCTGAAGGCAATTTATTTTTATTGTACTGATGCTACCTTATAAGGTCAAAAAATGTGGGCCAAGCTTTCATGTTAAATTCCTGACCATTCTTCATTATTACTATGAAAATTGTTTAAAAAAAAAACACAATAATATGCACAATTTTTTCGATTTATACCCATTTTAAAAAGCCTAATGTCTTAGACGGAATGTTAACACCACTTCTACTGGAAGTACAGAGGAATTCACAATTACCGCAAAAATGCAGATTATCGTGATGAGGGGTGCAAGTTTAATGTACCTGGGTGATTATCGTGGAATGTATGAGTGGATTGTGATTCCTGTGAGAGTTTTAAAACAGCTTTTTCATACAGCCGTGAGACGTAGCTTGGCTTAAGCTTTTTGATAGCGCTTACTGTTTTCGTTACCACTTTTCGATCTTTGGTAGCTGAACGACGATAGTCGATAATGCTGTACACATTTATTAAAGAGAGTACGAGGACTGACAGACTAATGAGATTTCTATTTAAAAGTATTTATGAATGGCGCCATTCAGTAGCAAGTACATAAAATAGCATATTATGAGTAAAATATGCGAAGAAATATGGACGGAATGCATTGACGTTTTCAAACGGAAGCCGATAAAAACCGATTATGTACTAATAAGTGGTGTAGCTTATGGATTTATCATCAAAATGTATGAATTTAATATAAAAGTCAATCACAAAAAGGCAGTTCAACGATTTCTCCTGATTGCTAACACACCTTTAGCTTTAGAGGTATTATCAAGCGGCACAACTTCAACAGATTTACCCTGCTCCTTGAACCCGTATATCTTCTTTCGATCCTGCAAAATATTCATCTATATAAAGTATCTGACAACTCAGATAAACAATCTGAAAATTCAACAGATCAGATCAGAAGTAACTAATTGTGAGTCATCAGTATTGCATGCAGGGTTTCATGTTTCACAAGGAACCACTTTATAGATATAATCACTTCTTCAATCCAGAAATTAATCAAACACTCACGTTCAGTTCAAGATGAAACGCTTGATTAGCCATAGCGATGGCCTCCCGCATTCCTTTACCAGACTTTCTCTGGTCCTGAAATAAGACGCGTGTAAATCCTTCGGCAGAATTAATAAAGTACAGAAATACTAACGTTTGTCGCTCCAAAAGCATGTTTTAAAAGCAACTTACCGGCTGACGTAAGCATGTTTCAATAAAAAGAGCGGGTGTGGCAAGCGGGCATTTTCTGCATAAAATCGGGCGGAGCGGTCTAGAGTCTTGCAATATCAATTAGGCTAGATATAGTGTAATATTTATTAGACACCATAACGCGAGTATGCGCTGAAACCTATTATGTATTGTATTAGTACACCGTGTATACTTTTGAGATATCGAGACAATGTGGGAAGATTGTGAGGGAAATAATAAGGTGCAAACTGAGAACAAAAGTTATGACAGCTAAAGTACCAGCTTGTATATCACTTAACTTGTGCATTTATTATGCGTCGTGTTATAATCGCCCCCGGAGGGGGGGAAGGGGTTGAAACAGCCGTTGCCGCGCAAATCGAACTAGGCAAGAAGCCAAAAACGGGGACGCGCGCAAACTTTACGGTATAGTGAATGACTTTTTGATGTGCTTTGTACGCGCTCAACTGTATATTTACTAGTAGTTGAGGGTTATTGCAGTTTTGTCCCACGTTAAAAGCGCATGGCAGTGGCAGTCTACTGCTAATTGAGTTCTTGTAGAATTGTCCAACAGAACAGTAGATTTACGTATGATTTAAGTAATAGGGTATACGGTGAGTCGATAATTATTAACGTAAGCTAAATTATGAGCCACAACTTAACTGCGTTTCGATTCTGGGTATTGATGGACGACACAAGAAATGCAAAATCCGAGACGTTGCGTTAAAATATAATGTGCAGTGCGGCGGTGGGAAGTTCAAATTAGGCAATTAATACAACAAAATTGATGCGAGGGGTTAAACGAAATTATTTAAACCTGTCTGGCAATTGAGAGTTTGGAAGCATGTTTTTTATGAGAATATGAAAAATCGACAAATTATTAATAAACTTGTACATATTATTTATAAACTTACGTATTTGAGCTGGTCCTCTTTATCATCAGGATTGTAAACCTTGATAAACTTTTTGCCAATCCAAGCCCTGGTCGCTTGGATACCAAAGAATGTCACATGGTATTTATCCTGCAAGGAGATATTATTAAACTAGAATAATTTTAAGACAAGATGACAAACATAAAGACCCGTTACCCTGGTTCAATAAAGTATTACTGTCTCAAGCATTTACCCATAACTTTTAAAAAAGAGGAGCCCTCACTCAGCACGACTGCACACGGGTGACGTATGGGATTATGTCGGTCAAGATAAAATGTCTTGATTAGAATATAACGTCCAGTAAGGTGCTGACTGATGAGTGTGGGTTTCCTCTATTGGAGAGGAATTTGGTCCAATACTTCTGTCATCAACTGATGATGATTTAGACTCAAGTGTATAATCAATCTTCACAGATGAAAATAATTATTTAATGGTCAAAGGTTTTGTGGTGATTTTGTTGTGTGTATTATGTTCAAAATTTTAATCGGCTGTATCTTCGGTTGAGTTGGATATTTCTTGATGCAATAAAAACTGATAATCACTTAATACTATAATTAGATTTCTCTCTGGGACCACAGCACAGCTCAGGCTAGTAAAATCATAAAATGCCTTTTACCTTTAAACGTAAGTTTGTAAAATGATCCTTTAAAGCTCTATAAACATTACTCTAACTTAACCCTCGCCTTTTAAATGCAACTCAACCTTTTTCAATAACCATCACCTTGATTAGTAGGATATCAGGATAATAAAGAAAGAACTTAGAGACTTAAGAAAGAACTTAGAGACTTAAGAAAGACTCTAGAAGACTAACCAAACCCCAACCCTTTAATTGAATTTCAAACCTTCACAGATACCACCAGTGAGCCTAACCGTCATAGGATCTTAGGATAATGTCAACACTCAACATGGCAACATGGCCAGGAATCGACCGGGATTGGCAATTTTGAGCTATCCCGGTACCGGTCCCGGTCAAATGCTGATTTATGATCCCGGTTCCGGTCCCGGTCCCGGTCCCGGTCAATTCGGGATTCTTGGTCCCGGTCCCGGGTAATCACTCAAATTTGCCGGGATTTGACCGGGATCTTTTACATAATTTCATTCACTGTGATTTTAAGTTTTCCTTTCATTAATTGTGAATTTCATCTTTAAACATCCTCTGAGCCAAATAAAACAATGTTTAAAATTGCTAAACAAGTTTGAGTAATAAATTATGATTAGATCATGAATTAACCAGTAATCGACCGGAATTCCCGGTACCGGGAATCCCGGTACCGGGATTGGCAATTTTGAGCTATCCCGATCCCGGTCCCGGTCCCGGTCAAGTCACATTTTTCATCCCGGTCCCGGTCCCGGTCAAATGCTGATTTAGGATCCCGGTCCCGGTTAATTCAGGATTCTTGGTCCCGGTCCTGGTCCCGGTCCCGGTCAGGCCTGAAATCATGTCCCGGTCGATTCCTGAACATGGCAACATTAAAATAATATATTGACTCTGTTACATCGTTTCCTGTTAATATAAATAGCATAATGGTGACATTTTTCAAAATATCTATATACCGATTAGATTGATCAGATCAATCATTAGATGCAAGTTTCAGAGGTAATAAGTAATGATAATATGTATGGTAGAATGTGGATACCAATTGGTTCAAGATAAAGATAAGAGCAACAGGTTGCAAGGTATTAGTGTAATTCATGGCAGGGGCCGCTTTTTAGGGTTTGGCTGTAATGCATACTTGGTCAAACTGATTTCAATTAAGATTACAAGATTACACGTTTCACATATCCATGACTACTTGGTATTTCAGATTTACGACCCCAATGGTTAACGAGCGAATAACACGTCATGTCAAGTACTTCCCACCTACAGGGTGGAGCTACTAGATACCAGAAAATAGTGCAATTTAAGTGGCCTCTACCGGCACCGTGTACATACTAATTGTATTGTGCGCGGATCAGAAAATTAACACATTCCAGCGGGTCTTGGCGTGGCGGACTAACGCCCTTTAAATGAAGCTGAGAGAGATTTGAAATAACTGTAATTATTTGACCATGATTTTGGTACATTCCCGTCATTTTGCAAGCGGTGCTAGGTATTTGGGAGATTGTATTTGTGGAATGGCGTTATAAAGGCGTGTGCTGCCTGGGGGCCCTCATTACAGTATGTGGACAGTGGAGCGGTTTAGCACTGATCATATTTGTACAATGTATTATATAGGTAGTATATCCTTAACACATAGGAGCTGATATCTATAATATATAGTTGTGTCGTATGCCATGTGGCGATGTCTAAGTTTTCAAGTATAATATTTAAAGTATTTCCAGGAAGCTCCTAAATTTCAAAAGGAAAGACTAAAGTAATGTTTTTCTAGAGATTCTAAAAAGAAGTGAGAACAAGAAAAATGGCTTATTTTCCTTATTTGGATATTTCTTCAAATTGTTTTCACTTCAATATGATTGATCTCTGACAAGGGCATTATCGTCACATCTGCACAACTACCCAAAATTTAAGAAAGGATTTAAAAGACTTTGTACAATTTATGTCCGACGAGTTCACCCGCCAATTCCAAATAACTATAATATTCTTGTAGGGAAGCCTCAAAAGTTGAAAAGGAAAGCCGAAAGTGAAAAAAAATTTAAGAGTGAAAATTGAAAATAACTCTAAAAGACCGATCCCTTTTCTATCACCCAAACTCTGAACCTTTAAACCCTGAAGAGACACTCTACAGGTGAAATCAACTAAACCATAGAAATAGTTAATTAATAAAGTATTAATTAATTAAGTATTTAATTACCGGAAGTTGAGAGTTGGCGTGTTTATAGTAGAATGTTCTGGTGAGGGGGTCGTTGTCTATCATACCCGGCCACCAGGGATACCCCTGCATCTTACCCCACACTAGTGATCCTGAGGAGTAGACTATTAGCTCACTAAATAACCAAGTTACTGAGTAACCAGGTTACTAAGTTACTAAAATACTAAGTCACTTAGTAACCAGGGTTACCCCTGCATCTTACCCCACACCAGTGATCCTGAGAAGTAGACTATAAGCTCACTAAATAACCAAGTTACTGAGTAACCAGGTTACTAAGTTACTAAAATACTAAGTCACTTAGTAACCAGGGTTACCCCTGCATCTTACCCCACACCAGTGATCCTGAGAAGTAGACTATAAGCTCACTCAAGAACCAAGTTACTGAGTAACCTGGTTACTAAGTTACTAAAATACTAAGTCACTTAGTAACCAGGGTTACTAAGTAACTAAAATACTAAGTAACCTAGTAACCAGGGTTACCCCTGCATCTTACCCCACACCAGTGATCATGCAGAGTAGACTATAAGCTCACTAAGTAACCTGGTTACTAAGTAACCTGGTTACTAAGTTACCCCACACCAGTGATCATGCAGAGTATGTGATTAGCTCCACGTCAGGAATGTGAGTACAGTCCCAAGGAAAGGCTGCACACTAGACTTCAGCTGCGACAAAGAAAGAAACTATAGTGTGCCGTTTTATTGCACCCCACTAATTGAGAAACACTAGAGTCTAGACTCAAGACCCCAGCCGAATGTTTGTACAAGAACCTGGTTACAAATGCAACCTGGTTACAGAGTAAGTAAGTAACCATGTTACTAAGTCACTAAGTAACCAAGTTACTGAGTTACTAAATCCACAAGGTTACCAGTGAGCATATTACCTAGACTGTAAGCAGAGTAGACGAACTCGTAGCCTTGATCTAGCTGTGTCCAACTCTCCTCTGGGGCGTTACAATTGTTGTACTTTTTATCTGAAATATGGAATTATTAGAACTCTTTACACGTTTATCTGTAAGGGCCGGAGTATGTATTATATTATGTAGTTAAGATAGTATCAAATAAGATCGATTACAAATACAATTATAATCCTTATTATTGATTTAGTTTAAGAAGGTTAACATGGCGACGTATTTTTCAAGGGTCATGCTTGAAGCCTTGCTTTTGTTAAACATTGTTATTGTTGTAGGCACTACCGCATTTTTGAAGAAGTTTTGTGGCATATAATTATAAATATCAATTACCCTATAATATATATTATAGTATATATAATTAATATTTTCGTGAAAGCGCCAGCTAACTCGCTTCTTTATTTGAAAGAGTTTAATAAGCGCTAAATTTGGCAAATTTGAGTTTAATTTTGTAATGTAATATCACGTGAATTCTTCTCACTCAGTCACTCATTTCCAACAGAAAACACACTTAATTAAATTATCTAAGTAGCTAATTCACATTTCGCCGTCAAACACTAAACAAGTTAACGAATTAATGTGGCACACTACAGCTGCATTCTCCTCTAAAGTAAGCATTAATTAGGCTCTGAACAGCTTCATTTTCTTCCAAATTAAATGAGTGCTCTCTCAATGAGACTGCAGGAATGTTTGGACATTTGCCAAAGTACGTGCCAAACTTTTGGCAGGTATTTAATCACGAAAGTTAATTCCTACGAAAGTATTTTTCGAATTACTTCAGCATGACGTGTATAGTCTGTGACACTTGAATTCATCTGAATTTCTCTGGAATTTGCCTTCCAAATGAACTGTAAGTGTAAGTTCTCTCTCTCTCGCTCAAATACCTTGCTAAGCGTGCCAAGAATGTTTGGATATTTACCAAAGGCATGTCTCCAACGCTTGGCACATACAATAAACGGATTAAACGGATTACAATATATAATCATGGAAGTTAATTCATATTACCACGGAACAAGTATAAAGTTTATAAGCTGTAAACATGGAACGAGTGTAAACTGTAAACTTTATAAGCTGTAACCCTGAATTTAATAGCTCCCCCCAACCCCACTCTCCCTATTAAAACGAGAGGAATGTTCTCTCAAATAACCTCGGAATGTTTGGATATTTACCAAAGTCCGTGTCGACAGATACGTGTTATAAAGCCTTGATAAGTAGGATAGTACTATTATAATGGGGAGTGTAGAGTATTTAGCACACGCTGAAGAGCGCCGCGCTGCTCCCACTTTTATGAGTCATTAACTCATTAAAGTTATTCTTAGTATGATAATTAATTAGCTCATTTGCTGATTAGTTGTTGATTAGAGCTTGTTTATTTGTTATGAAAGTTGAAACAAAGTTGCGAAATATTGTGTCTCCCACACACACACACACTTCATACACATTGTCATGTATATTGATATCAGCCAGCTCTCAGCTACATGCTTACTGCTTAGGACTAATGGCTCCTTATTCTACATCTTTATAAATATAATAGCGGCGTGTTATTTTTGTATGATGAGATGTTGGGGGGCTAACGTTATGACTTACTGTGTTATGACGTGTTTTCAGTAAAATGGTTCAATAGATTTGGATGCTGGTGGGGAACTGAGGGAGGTGATCTTATACATATAACAAATGATAAACCAATCAGCTTCCAGCATTGATAGAGGTAAACCAATCAGCTTCCAGCATTGATAGAGGTAAACCAATCAGCTTCCAGCATTGATAGAGGTAAACCAATCAGCTTCCAGCATTGATAGAGGTAAACCAATCAGCTTCCAGCATTGATAGAGGTAAACCAATCAGCTTCCAGCATTGATAGAGGTAAACCAATCAGCTTCCAGCATTGATAGAGGTACACCAATCAGCTTCCAGCATTGATAGAGGTAAACCAATCAGCTTCCAGCATTGATAGAGGTAAACCAATCAGCTTCCAGCATTGATAGAGGTAAACCAATCAGCTTCCAGCATTGATAGAGGTAAACCAATCAGCTTCCAGCATTGATAGAGGTAAACCAATCAGCTTCCAGCATTGATAGAGGTAAACCAATCAGCTTCCAGCATTGATAGAGGTAAACCAATCAGCTTCCAGCATTGATAGAGGTACAATCAGCTTAACCAATCAGCTTCCAGCATTGATAGAGGTAAACCAATCAGCTTCCAGCATTGATAGAGGTAAACCAATCAGCTTCCAGCATTGATAGAGGTAAACCAATCAGCTTCCAGCATTGATAGAGGTAAACCAATCAGCCTCCAGCATTGATAGAGGTAAACCAATAAGCTTCCAGCATTGATAGAGGGTAAACCAATCAGCTTCCAGCATTGATAGAGGTAAACCAATCAGCTTCCAGCATTGATAGAGGTAAACCAATCAGCTTCCAGCATTGATAGAGGTAAACCAATCAGCTTCCAGCATTGATAGAGGTAAACCAATCAGCTTCCAGCATTGATAGAGGTAAACCAATCAGCTTCCAGCATTGATAGAGGTAAACCAATCAGCTTCCAGCATTGATAGAGGTAAACCAATCAGCTTCCAGCATTGATAGAGGTAAACCAATCAGCTTCCAGCATTGATAGAGGTAAACCAATCAGCTTCCAGCATTGATAGAGGTAAACCAATCAGCTTCCAGCATTGATAGAGGTAAACCAATCAGCTTCCAGCATTGATAGAGGTAAACCAATCAGCTTCCAGCATTGATAGAGGTAAACCAATCAGCTTCCAGCATTGATAGAGGTAAACCAATCAGCTTCCAGCATTGATAGAGGTAAACCAATCAGCTTCCAGCATTGATAGAGGTAAACCAATCAGCTTCCAGCATTGATAGAGGTAAACCAATCAGCTTCCAGCATTGATAGAGGTAAACCAATCAGCTTCCAGCATTGATAGAGGTAAACCAATCAGCTTCCAGCATTGATAGAGGTAAACCAATCAGCTTCCAGCATTGATAGAGGTAAACCAATCAGCTTCCAGCATTGATAGAGGTAAACCAATCAGCTTCCAGCATTGATAGAGGTAAACCAATCAGCTTCCAGCATTGATAGAGGTAAACCAATCAGCTTCCAGCATTGATAGAGGTAAACCAATCAGCTTCCAGCATTGATAGAGGTAAACCAATCAGCTTCCAGCATTGATAGAGGTAAACCAATCAGCTTCCAGCATTGATAGAGGTAAACCAATCAGCTTCCAGCATTGATAGAGGTAAACCAATCAGCTTCCAGCATTGATAGAGGTAAACCAATCAGCTTCCAGCATTGATAGAGGTAAACCAATCAGCTTCCAGCATTGATAGAGGTAAACCAATCAGCTTCCAGCATTGATAGAGGTAAACCAATCAGCTTCCAGCATTGATAGAGGTAAACCAATCAGCTTCCAGCATTGATAGAGGTAAACCAATCAGCTTCCAGCATTGATAGAGGTAAACCAATCAGCTTCCAGCATTGATAGAGGTAAACCAATCAGCTTCCAGCATTGATAGAGGTAAACCAATCAGCTTCCAGCATTGATAGAGGTAAACCAATCAGCTTCCAGCATTGATAGAGGTAAACCAATCAGCTTCCAGCATTGATAGAGGTAAACCAATCAGCTTCCAGCATTGATAGAGGTAAACCAATCAGCTTCCAGCATTGATAGAGGTAAACCAATCAGCTTCCAGCATTGATAGAGGTAAACCAATCAGCTTCCAGCATTGATAGAGGTAAACCAATCAGCTTCCAGCATTGATAGAGGTAAACCAATCAGCTTCCAGCATTGATAGAGGTAAACCAATCAGCTTCCAGCATTGATAGAGGTAAACCAATCAGCTTCCAGCATTGATAGAGGTAAACCAATCAGCTTCCAGCATTGATAGAGGTAAACCAATCAGCTTCCAGCATTGATAGAGGTAAACCAATCAGCTTCCAGCATTGATAGAGGTAAACCAATCAGCTTCCAGCATTGATAGAGGTAAACCAATCAGCTTCCAGCATTGATAGAGGTAAACCAATCAGCTTCCAGCATTGATAGAGGTAAACCAATCAGCTTCCAGCATTGATAGAGGTAAACCAATCAGCTTCCAGCATTGATAGAGGTAAACCAATCAGCTTCCAGCATTGATAGAGGTAAACCAATCAGCTTCCAGCATTGATAGAGGTAAACCAATCAGCTTCCAGCATTGATAGAGGTAAACCAATCAGCTTCCAGCATTGATAGAGGTAAACCAATCAGCTTCCAGCATTGATAGAGGTAAACCAATCAGCTTCCAGCATTGATAGAGGTAAACCAATCAGCTTCCAGCATTGATAGAGGTAAACCAATCAGCTTCCAGCATTGATAGAGGTAAACCAATCAGCTTCCAGCATTGATAGAGGTAAACCAATCAGCTTCCAGCATTGATAGAGGTAAACCAATCAGCTTCCAGCATTGATAGAGGTAAACCAATCAGCTTCCAGCATTGATAGAGGTAAACCAATCAGCTTCCAGCATTGATAGAGGTAAACCAATCAGCTTCCAGCATTGATAGAGGTAAACCAATCAGCTTCCAGCATTGATAGAGGTAAACCAATCAGCTTCCAGCATTGATAGAGGTAAACCAATCAGCTTCCAGCATTGATAGAGGTAAACCAATCAGCTTCCAGCATTGATAGAGGTAAACCAATCAGCTTCCAGCATTGATAGAGGTAAACCAATCAGCTTCCAGCATTGATAGAGGTAAACCAATCAGCTTCCAGCATTGATAGAGGTAAACCAATCAGCTTCCAGCATTGATAGAGGTAAACCAATCAGCTTCCAGCATTGATAGAGGTAAACCAATCAGCTTCCAGCATTGATAGAGGTAAACCAATCAGCTTCCAGCATTGATAGAGGTAAACCAATCAGCTTCCAGCATTGATAGAGGTAAACCAATCAGCTTCCAGCATTGATAGAGGTAAACCAATCAGCTTCCAGCATTGATAGAGGTAAACCAATCAGCTTCCAGCATTGATAGAGGTAAACCAATCAGCTTCCAGCATTGATAGAGGTAAACCAATCAGCTTCCAGCATTGATAGAGGTAAACCAATCAGCTTCCAGCATTGATAGAGGTAAACCAATCAGCTTCCAGCATTGATAGAGGTAAACCAATCAGCTTCCAGCATTGATAGAGGTAAACCAATCAGCTTCCAGCATTGATAGAGGTAAACCAATCAGCTTCCAGCATTGATAGAGGTAAACCAATCAGCTTCCAGCATTGATAGAGGTAAACCAATCAGCTTCCAGCATTGATAGAGGTAAACCAATCAGCTTCCAGCATTGATAGAGGTAAACCAATCAGCTTCCAGCATTGATAGAGGTAAACCAATCAGCTTCCAGCATTGATAGAGGTAAACCAATCAGCTTCCAGCATTGATAGAGGTAAACCAATCAGCTTCCAGCATTGATAGAGGTAAACCAATCAGCTTCCAGCATTGATAGAGGTAAACCAATCAGCTTCCAGCATTGATAGAGGTAAACCAATCAGCTTCCAGCATTGATAGAGGTAAACCAATCAGCTTCCAGCATTGATAGAGGTAAACCAATCAGCTTCCAGCATTGATAGAGGTAAACCAATCAGCTTCCAGCATTGATAGAGGTAAACCAATCAGCTTCCAGCATTGATAGAGGTAAACCAATCAGCTTCCAGCATTGATAGAGGTAAACCAATCAGCTTCCAGCATTGATAGAGGTAAACCAATCAGCTTCCAGCATTGATAGAGGTAAACCAATCAGCTTCCAGCATTGATAGAGGTAAACCAATCAGCTTCCAGCATTGATAGAGGTAAACCAATCAGCTTCCAGCATTGATAGAGGTAAACCAATCAGCTTCCAGCATTGATAGAGGTAAACCAATCAGCTTCCAGCATTGATAGAGGTAAACCAATCAGCTTCCAGCATTGATAGAGGTAAACCAATCAGCTTCCAGCATTGATAGAGGTAAACCAATCAGCTTCCAGCATTGATAGAGGTAAACCAATCAGCTTCCAGCATTGATAGAGGTAAACCAATCAGCTTCCAGCATTGATAGAGGTAAACCAATCAGCTTCCAGCATTGATAGAGGTAAACCAATCAGCTTCCAGCATTGATAGAGGTAAACCAATCAGCTTCCAGCATTGATAGAGGTAAACCAATCAGCTTCCAGCATTGATAGAGGTAAACCAATCAGCTTCCAGCATTGATAGAGGTAAACCAATCAGCTTCCAGCATTGATAGAGGTAAACCAATCAGCTTCCAGCATTGATAGAGGTAAACCAATCAGCTTCCAGCATTGATAGAGGTAAACCAATCAGCTTCCAGCATTGATAGAGGTAAACCAATCAGCTTCCAGCATTGATAGAGGTAAACCAATCAGCTTCCAGCATTGATAGAGGTAAACCAATCAGCTTCCAGCATTGATAGAGGTAAACCAATCAGCTTCCAGCATTGATAGAGGTAAACCAATCAGCTTCCAGCATTGATAGAGGTAAACCAATCAGCTTCCAGCATTGATAGAGGTAAACCAATCAGCTTCCAGCATTGATAGAGGTAAACCAATCAGCTTCCAGCATTGATAGAGGTAAACCAATCAGCTTCCAGCATTGATAGAGGTAAACCAATCAGCTTCCAGCATTGATAGAGGTAAACCAATCAGCTTCCAGCATTGATAGAGGTACACCAATCAGCTTCCAGCATTGATAGGGGTAAACCAATCAGCTTCCAGTATTGATAGAGGTAAACCAATCAGCTTCCAGCATTGATAGAGGTAAACCAATCAGCTTCCAGCATTGATAGAGGTAAACCAATCAGCTTCCAGCATTGATAGAGGTAAACCAATCAGCTTCCAGCATTGACCGCCATTGATAGGGGCGTGTCACTTTTATACTGGGAGCTTAGTTTATTGTGCTATGTCGTGTCACGAGCTCTTTATTAGATGTGGTTGAATGGATCTGGACAATAGTGGGGAGGCGAGCCAATAGCCATTTCTGACGTGCGGTGTTTTTTATGAAAACTTGTGGTTTTGATTATATTTTGTTTACTGAATGGTGAATGGGCTGCATTATTGATTTATTGCAAATGAATATGCTGATAATTGACGTAGGCCAATAAATATGCAGGCAATGCAGCTTATCACATTGTGTGAAGACGTAAACCTTCGTCATTACACAAAAAACTACGTAGGCCTTTTTATATGTAATGTTCAACAATATCACGTTATATTTACACGATTTAACTCGTTACATTTTCTGGAGAATAAATGGGATGTGTGATTATTTAACTGATTGAATAATTAAATTGGCAATAATTTCTGATAGCCGACAAGGCCGGAAGGCTATCAATGAATATACAGCTGAAAGATGTATGCAGTTTTTATAGAATTAACCCTCCTCAATACCCATTGAATTCCATTAAAAAATACTTTTAACAATCCTTTCCTAAATAAAAAGCATAAAATAAACTAACTATAAAAACCGGCCACATTCAATGTACATTGTACTTAATGTCACGTGTTACAACTTACAGCAATTTCACGTATATCTGCTAATTATCAAACTAGTTGTTTGACGTCTGCATGCGTCACGTGTACATTGGGGAATGTCACGTGTATACCGGGGAATGTACTTGGCACATTTGCTTGTGACAAATTGGAAATAGTAACATGTATATAATATCGTGTTGGAATTAAGTGAAATTGTGCCACGAAAGTGCCACGAGAGTGCCACGAGAGTGTCACGAGAGTGCCACGAGAGTGCCACGAGAGTGCCACGAGAGTGCCACGAGAGTGCCATCGGGATACGGATGTATGACCGAAATTTTCAACAAATTGGCTTTGATAGTGGGGTTTTGATAAAAGCAAGGCTGTAAGTTTATTTAATTGACAAAATTGTAACATGGAAATAGAGATGACACTCTGGTTGCTGTGTAAACTCTATATTTCATGAGACAGAATACCACTATTCATTATTTACTCCTATAAAGTACATACAGTATAGTATAATTGTATGTACTTGATAGTTTTATTGTACTCTTATTACTCTCTCTCTCTCTCTCTCTCTCTTATTACATTGAACACCTGTTGAAAAATAACCTAAATGTATCTCCCTTTCATCACACATTATGTAACACCCTCCCATTTCAGCCAGGTGTGTCCTGTTCTAGACAAAAAGAGTGATCACTATCAGGTACCATCTGTGTCGTGCCGTGCAACTAATAACTATACATTTGCGGTAGTATGTTAACAATCAACATTTTCTGTGGAATTATTGAGACTGGTAAAGAAAAGAAATGTATAGTTTGATCTTGCACTGGCTTAATGAGGAGATTGGGTTTATGCATCGGTACCAGTATCAGTACCAGTACCAGTACCAGTACCAGTACCAGTACCAGTACCAGTACCAGTACCAGTACCAGTACCAGTACCAGTTCAGTGTTATATAATATCGCAAACACAGTTCAGTTATCAGTGTTATAGCTGAATTTTCTGAAAATTATAAATGGTGCAAAAGTTAAAACGGTGCAAAAGTATGAACTCGCTCAGTAGAAAGCGGCCGCATAGCATAGCATAGCATAGGATTAGAGTAAATTTAATTCTGGCTTCAATGCCAAATTACCTAATTTTGTACCAAAGTTGTAATTAGGGGACAGAGCGAGTTCATACTTTCGCACCGTTTTAACTACGAAAATGTAGTGCGTGTTTTCGAATATGAGAATATAGTAGGCGGGTTTATACTTTTGTATTTCAACTGCGATAGTGAAGTCCCAGCCGTAAGCACGGGTTACACTAGTAATATAGCTCTGATAAGTTGAGAAGAGAACTATATAATATAGTGATGTAAAGGACAGTGTAAGTGTGCAGTTAATTGTGGGCCACCCTGCATACTTGAGATAACTTTATATATTAACTTGGATAGCCTGACAATAATAACTCGCTAAGTTGCACGATTGGCGGATTGTTCATTAGCCACACTCAATATGTTGAACGCTTATTACATCTTGTTGCAGTTTTACTGTTGGTCGGCTATCACTTGACCCCTTATCTCTTGTTCAATAGACGATATAATAAACGTGGAGCACAATGTCACATACACAATGTCACATACACAATGTCACATACACAATGTCACATGTACAGTATACACAATGTCACATACACAATGTCACATACACAATGTCACATACACAATGTCACACACACAATGTCATACACAATGTCACATACACAATGTCACGTATACACAATGTCACATACACAATGTCACGTATACACAATGTTACATACACAATTTCGCATTCACAATGTCACATACACAATGTCACACACACACTGTCACACACACAATGTCACATACACAATGTCACATACACAATGTCACATACACAATGTCACACACACAATGTCACACACACAATGTCACACACACAATGTCACATACACAATGTCACATACACAATGTCACATACACAATACAAATGTCACACACACAATGTCACACACGTACACACAATGTCACATATTATATTAGTTGAGATAACTCTTCCTTTCAAATAAATCCTTTTTTTCAAATAAAAATTAAACACTGCCCAGTGCCCACCAAATTAAACATTTGATAATTAATTGGTTTACAAATTTTGTAAAGAAATTAACAAAATAATGACTAATTAAACAACAAGTAATTACAATTACGGGAATAATTACAACTATATTACAATTATACCACAATAATTACGACAACTACAATAATTAATTACGAGATATTACCATCAATATTACCTGGGTTGAGAGTGCATACCCAGTCGTCAGGTATCAAGTTTGGATCTGACGTATCTCGGAGATATCTCCACTTGCTGCATCGCTCACATTGCACCCAAATACCTGAAAAATACCTGATTAAATACCTAAACCAAAACAAAACAGAAGAAAATATAAGTTTCCAATCTGTATGCGTAATGCCGTAATATGGTAGATAATATATATAATACACATAAAGTTTATAGAAAAGAATAAAACATCACCCTGCTATAAACGTTATAAAGTTATAAATAAATACTATAATTTGTTTCCTACAATGATGCCGATGGTCAGTTAACGATGGCACATTCCACGGTATATAACTTTATTCAGAACTAATTATATTTTACTTCGCTTCCACATTCCACAACTATTACTTGAGTTGACAGAAGCAAAAGTCAAAACCATGATCTGACAATCTCACCACAGACAATATGGCAACTACCATATTAGGGCATCACGTGATATGTTTGGAAATCACATTCCACAACTACTATCCATATGTTGAGTTTCAGCACACTTCTCAGTTACACCACACTATATATAATACACGTGCCTGACACCAGGAACTCAATGTACCGAGATAGGATGTACTCTTTTAGAGATGGCATGTACTCTTTTAGAGATGGGATGTACTCTTTTAGAGATAGGATGTACTCTTTTAGAGATGGGATATACTCTTTTAGAGATAGGATGTACTCTTTTAGAGATAGGATGTACTCTTTTAGAGATGGGATGTACTCTTTTAGAGATATGATCTACTCTTTTAGAGATGGGATCTACTCTTCTAGAGATATGATCTACTCTTTTAGAGATGGGATCTACTCTTTTAGAGATGGGATGTACTCTTTTAGAGATAGGATGTACTCTTTTAGAGATGGGATGTACTCTTTTAGAGATAGGATCTACTCTTTTAGAGATAGGATGTACTCTTTTAGAGATGGGATGTCCCACATCCAGAAACACGCCATCTAGCCAGGCAGCCTGGGAGGAAATTTTTTTGGGAGGAAAAACGGGAGGAAAAAGAGGAAATTTTTGAGAAGTTACTCCTAAATTTCGAAATATTTTTTTGGAATAGAGACAAATTAATTGAGGAAATTTTTGAAGAAAATATTTCGATTGTATAAAAATCAAAGAGGAACATCCTGTCAGTTTTGGAACACAGTGAAATATTCTGATTGGAGAATGCAGATTGCTGTTGTGAAGTTACCAAATTTACTTGAGTACTTGATTCTTTTCAATCCCAGTTTATTGCTGTCCTACAAATTTCTTTAATGCCAAATGTCGTCTAAAACACCCTATTTCGCAAACATTTTCCGGTGGGCTGCGCCCCCCTAGCCCCCGCTAAGGGGCTCTGCCCCTGGACCCCGCTGGGGGCTGCGCACCCAAACCCCTGCCACAGCTTGCTTGTTTCACTCGCTGCGCAGCTGGATTGGTCGGATTGCTTCGGTCGCCGACAGCCCCCCCCCCCCCCCAAAGAAAAATCCTGGCTACGTCCCTGCTCGTGAATTGGTCCAGTGTTAACAAGAATTGCGCCCGTTGTTTCGTTTTGGCGGACGCTAGATTTCCATTTCACATTTACTATAAATTTAAGTATAACTATAAGCTCCAATCAGCTCACTTCAATCTTCATGATAATAATATTGATCAATTATGCATCAAATACGGGAAACACTTGAAATTCAGTTCAATTGCCGTAGAACTTAACTTGTATCTGTAATTCAAGAAATTATCAGCAAAGGTAAACTATTATATATTTGTAGCGCGATGCACTACTGGGTCGCGCGCGCATCAAATAATGCTTCTCGCAACCAACGCTTCTCGCAACCAACGCTTCTCTACCTTCGGTAGATCGGCGAGATGCACCACTTTGACGGATGTTACTCGTCTAAATTTCTTCGAAGTAGCGCGCGCCGCTTTCTTCTCGAAATGGCCCGACGGCAAGTGCTACGAAGTAGCGCGCGCCGGGCCAGATCATTAACAATGGTCAATGCACCACTGTGCCTCACCGAGCTGCGAAGGATTGACATCGTGAATCAATTATATATACTCGTGTACACATCAATACACTACGCGTGCCACGTACAAATTGGGTGTATTACCTAATAGTAATATTATACATTACATGCATCATATACACAGTCGCGCCGCGCATTCATAGATCACAGGCTATCTATACATCACATCTCCGCAAGCAATCCTCGCGCGCGCCCAACTTTTTCGTTGCATGGTAACGAACGAACACACGACATATTTAAACCCACCTATCTCGTTCTCCAAAATCCACGTTTTTCTGCAAAAACCTCCATTCGTAACCTTTCACTATTGCCTTTTTTCAAAAGGGTGAAAAGGAAAAAATTTGCGAGCGAAACGAGCGGGCCACAGAAAAAAAAAGGCAAACTTGTGAGCGAAGCGAGTGGGCCACAGAATTTAGAAAAAACGCATCTGGGAGGAAATATAAAACTTTCTGGATGTGGGTGGGATGTACTCTTTTAGTGATAGGATGTACTCTTTTAGAGATAGGATGTACTCTTTTAGAGATGGGATGTACTCTTTTAGAGATATGATTTACTCTTTTAGAGATGGGATGTACTCTTTTAGAGATGGGATGTACTCTTTTAGAGATAGGATGTACTCTTTTAGAAATAGGATGTACTCTTTTAGAGATAGGATGTACTCTTTTAGAGATAGGATGTACTCTTTGAGAGATAGGATGTACTCTTTTAGAGATGGGATGTAGTCTTTTAGAGATAGGATGTACTCTTTAAAAGATAGGATGTACTCTTTGAGAGATAGGATCTACTCTTTCATCATGTACTCTTTTATGTACTGTTGAGTTGTTACGGTAGTGTACAGTAAAGAATTAGGCTATTTTAGTCCTTTAACCAGAAAACGTGCGCTATTTCTTAGTAGCAAATTCGAAAAATATGACCAATTTTAACACTACTATATATATAACAAATAATTTGAGCTCATTATGTAATCAGGGCGACAAGCTTGAAACTGGCTGGAGGGGGTTCGTAGTCCTGTGCGGTGTGCGGCTACAACAGTGCGGCTACAACACACTCAGTGTGTTGTAGTCGCACTGTTGTAGCCGCACTGTTGTAGCCGCACTAATGTAGCCGCACTGTTGTAGCCGCACTGTTGTAGCCGCACTGTTGTAGCCGCACTGTTGTAGCCGCACTGTTGTAGCCGCACTGTTGTAGCCGCACTGTTGTAGCCGCACTGTTGTAGCCGCACTGTTGTAGCCGCACTGTTGTAGCCGCACTAATGTAGCCGCACTGTTGTAGCCGCACTGTTGTAGCCGCACTGTTGTAGCCGCACACTGACAACAATTCCCTCTAATTCCAACTTTCCAACTATCGATTGTAAACATGTTATATATCATAATTAGTGTTGTATCACAATTAGTGTAATGTAACACACTGTGTAAACTAACTTAACCCTTCTCCAATAACTATCCGACTCCTTCTCCGAGATTGTTACATAATGAGAGTAAATATCTGTTGTAAATAATAAAATTTGTTGCTCTTCATATCCAGTATTTATTGAGTTTTAATTTTTAAAGTGTTTTAAAGCCTTAGCTTTGGTTATGATTCATGTAAACGTAAATATATCACCTGTTAAAATGATTATTCGTGTAAAATGATTGTGTGTTTCTTCTTTATTTAGCTTCTAAAATAATTTAGAAGCAAATACAAACTTATAAAATGTGTCTCAGACGAAAACTTTATTTTACTTTACTTGGACAGGTCAATTGTATCGCTTTGCAGCTATTCGTGATTAATGTTACCGTAAATATAGAATGTTACAACTTACACGTCACAACAACTTAATAAATACTACATTATAGTAGCTCCCAGAATGAGACAGCGATTTTAAAAACTTTTAACATGTCCCCAATAAATATTAGAAGTGTTATATTTTCATACATCATGAATACGGAGTTGTGAGAATGGAGTACTGCTGGCGATTTATGCAATACAGCAGTCAGCACTTACGTGTCATGACGTCACGCCACGTGTCATGACGTCACGCCACCTGTCATGACGTCACACCATTGTGAGAATGGAGTACTGCTGGCGATGTATGCAATAAATCAGTCAGCACCTACATCCAATTATCTTTTGTATACTAGTGACTAGCGTTGAAAGTATTTTAAAAAGTAATAGAGTAATAAAAAGCAAACTGTGTTGATAAGTATTAAAGAGTAATTGTTAAAATGTATAAAATAATTAAAAAGCAAGTGTTAGACTTACTTTCTAAGTTGTCACTATTCGTACAGCTCAGTGTGAACTCATCATTCTCACTTTCACTACTATTACTGCTTGAGTATACCTGGGAATGTAATAGTAAAAATTAATTATTGGATTAATTAACTGTTCCTTTTATTAATCAATGAATTAATTTATTATTCCTTTTATTAATTCACAGTGATTATGAAAATTTAGTAGCTACAGATAGACACTACAGAAAAATTTAAAAGATACAATTCGCGCATCACGAAGATACAAAACAGTGGAAATATACAGCAAGATAAAATTTAATTAATTAAGCTGCAAAAAACCTTCTTCCTCTTTCTGATAAGCTCGGCCTTCATCGTCTCCTCCTTGATCTTTAACTTTTGCTCTTTTGCGTTTTTCTGTGGCGGTGGTTGCTTTTTCTGGGTTGGTTTGTTTTCTCTCTGTTTTGTAGTTGACTTTGCACTTGAGTTTGCAGATCGTTTCATGCAACTGTCTGAGTCCGAATCCTGCTGATGGTAAATTAAAATTAAAACTTTAGTTTGAGTGCAAGTGGAGTACCAGTGGAGTGCAAGTGGAGTGCAAGTGGAGTACCAGTGGAGTGCAAGTGGAGTACCAGTGGAGTGCAAGTGGAGTGCAAGTGGAGTGCAAGTGGAGTACCAGTGGAGTGACAACCGGTTCCGACCAAAAATTTGATTGCTGGAAATTCTTTGCTACTATATAATATATACATTTCGATATGCGATTTAAATGATAATTTAAGGGGAAGGAAGTGGGATGACCCACATTTCCAATTTATTAGGAACGATTATGTCAAACACAAGGATCTATCATAGAAACTGTTATAGAATGGAAATTGTGCTCATTCGCAATTTGATTACTTATTCCCACTGATCTTTTTGATTTCAGTGAAATTTTAGAGAGGCCATGCCACAACCAAACGCACGTGTGGTGGTCCAACACGTATGTGATTAACAAACCCCGTACCGAAGAGGTAACTACAACAAAGATTACCGTTTTAAATTGTACCAATCAGACAATCTAATCTTTCAATTTGACAAATCACTCACTTCCGAGCTAGAACTGCTGCTTGAAGATGATGCTGACATTGATAGACTCTTCTTGGGCTCTTCCTTTCTGGGGCGTTTTGGTGATCTCTCGATCTTTCTCTTCGTTTTCTGCTCCACCTTTCTTGACTGTTTCTGAAAAAGATTTACAATCAAAATAAGATCATTTGATTAGTATTACAAGATCTGGACCCCAATGTTTTTTGAGATTGGTTGAAAGGGGCCTTTTCATTTACATGCTAGTGCATGTTTTATAAAAGCTAGGAAAGTTTTCAAGATTAACCCAAATATATTAAATTAAAAGTTATCATCCCACAAGTCCATTAGCGGTTGAGAGGAACACATCCTTAGCAACTCATAAATAAAGTATAATCGAGAGCTTCTCATCTCTTGTGGTAGATCCGTACGTGTATCACAAAGCAATCACCTCACTCTACTCTTAGGATACTAACTTAGGATACTAACTCAGGATAAAGTTACTATCCTACCATCTTACAAGAACTAGGGTAGTTAAACCACGAAAGTAAGGTTTAGACGTTTAACTAGCCCAGTTAGTGTACTTAACAATACCAAGTGTCTAACTCAATATTGGGTGATTTATTGGTTAGAAAAGTTAGCATAGACTTAAAGGCTTTTGAGTACTGTTATAATAAGTTAATGACCGGTATCGCTCATCAAGTCATCACAATGCCCGCGTCCATCTTCAATCTGACTGATCAATGCATCACTGAGCCCTTTATGCTTATATCTCATTGAACAATACATAAAATACTATGAGCGCTCCATATTTGCTGATAAAGTTGCAAATTTGCACGCGGACCGAGTGCTAGCAAAGGATTTACTGAGTGGATATAGGGGCTAATTTTTATTATTGCTTGGCAGGGACAAAAGGAAATCGCGGCATGTACGGAATCGCGATTTTTCCCATTATTTGCGACAAATTTTATGTATAGTTTAATGTATAGTCTGTTAAAATTCGCGGTATCGCGATTTTTGGCCAAAATAATTGCGAAATCCTTTTGTCCCTGTTGCTTGGAGTAAGAGCTCTGGCATGGTGGTAGGAACAGCCAACCACAATCTGATAACAAAACACTTACAAGCAAACTGAGAGATTAACAATAACTATAACAGGTAAGATCACTGGACAGTGCAGAGAGGCTCAGTACAAGTCAGGAAACCAAAACTACATTTCGAACAATGAACCCAACCTCAGGATGACTTAGCGTACACTTAAATGTTTCAGAATCGGCTGAACCACTATACGGTTCATTAAGTATACATGGTTGTGGAGTTAAGTGACGTAGCACGTGACGTCATTGAGACATTGATGTGACACGTGACGTCACTGATGTATAATCTTCCCATTAATTGACACAACCCCTGTATTTAGCAGCAGGGCGATATACGTTAGTACAGTTTATACCGCATTGTATGTTATGTGTATTATTATGTATATTATTATATTGTATATTATGTAGAATGTACAGCTCTCCAAAGTTGAAAACTTAAGTGCACTTGAAACAATCGTACTATTAAGTATAAATTGGGAATGGTGCTGTATGAAGTTCCTAAGAACAGGCAATGATGGTGGGAGGTACATTTTTCGTTAGGAAGCTGGAGTAAAGATTTGCAAGTCCACAATTACTAAATCATATATTCTTTTAATTCATCTTTTAGTCATATCAATGATATATAATTTTGATATAAAATACTCTACAATCTACATTACTATTTAGTTACAAACCTGCATAGGTTCAGCTTTTCGCACAGGTTTCTTCTCCTCTGCAGCTTTCTTCTTCTTATCAGGCTCCTTTCCTTCCACTTTATCATTACCCAATGCTCTGAAAGTCGACTTGAACTTGCCCGGACTTTGTACTGTGGAGTAGTCCGCATCCGAGGACTCGTCTTTCCGGGCAAATTTGAGGAGGGGTTTTGGTCTGTCCGCCCCTTTGGGAGTGGAGAAAGACAGGCCAAATTTGTTGGAGAAGAAATCGTTGACTTTTTGACGGTCGACTTCGTCAGATGAGTTGACTGCTGAAATGGTATTGATATTTTAGATTATTTGAATGATGAGTTGATTGCTGAAATGGTATTGATATTACAGATTATTTGAATGATTTCGCAATGGATATTGCAAATTGTTATTTTGATAAGTGAAATTTGAGCAGATCTAAAATATGATTGACAGAATGACAGATTGAGAGTGGTGTGTTAATGAGTTAATGACAGAAATAAGTTAAATTGTGTTCAAAGTTTTGCTAACTTTTAGTTTTACTTTTTCCTTTATGTTTATTTTTTCCTTTCTTCTTATCAGCCTCTTCTACCAAAACAAGGCCCTCCGAACTTGACGGGAGACTCAGCGACTCTTCAAGTGGGGTCAGTAGATTCTCTATCACACATTCTTCAACATCATCCACCTTACTCTGCAATCCATTCTCTACATCACCGTCCAACTCTGATCCAACACCCTCGTTATATTTCTGAGACCCACTTCCACAACAATTCTTGACGTCAAGTTCAACAGAGCAGTGATCATGATAAGTTTCCACCAGAACTCTCGACTCAGAGTGAAGTGTATCCATTGCAGACTTGACGACATCAGCCGTACTACGCTGTGAAGATTGGGAAGAGATTGGCTCCGCTTTGGGATATTCTGCTTTAGGAGAGTCTGGCTGGAGAGATTCTGGATCAGAAGATTCTGACTTTGGAAAATCTGGCTTGGGGGGTGAAGATATTTTCTCGGTTGAATCGGAGGGGTTTACTTCTTTGATAGTGTCTGGGTTAGGAAACGACGATATGATTTCATTAGAGTGAGAGGTAATTTGTTGTTTATTAGATGTAGATATTAACTCAGCTGATTCTTTGGGAGAGTGTGACGTTGAAGACAACGATATCATATTAGCAGGGGGAGATGAGCTAGCTTCAGGGCTGTAAGAAATTGCATTTAAATATGCTTTTTGTTGTTCAGATGTTACAATAGCGGTATGTGAGTTTGCAACATGATTTAAATTATCAAGAGAATTAAGCTGAACTTTGGTGTCGGAAGATTTAACAGAGCTTGTGTTATTTTCAGTGTCAACAAGCTGAGGAATTGTTTTCTGAGTGTAAATTTCTTTATCGTCATTATCATCTTTTACTAGATCGTCAGTTTGTGAGTGAAACAAAATCGGTGAGTGATTAGGTGATCCTGCAACGATTGTCATATTGATTTGAAATAAAGTGATAATGTTATAATTAATACAATGTAATAATGCAGATTTTATATAAGGGATAAATAAAAAGGCTCAAAGAGGCCGTGACACAGTAAATATTATAGTCTCGTACAGTAAATTATACAAAAAAAGGAAATATTTGAAAAATGATAAAACTCAAACCTGCGGTACGAGACTTGGGGCTGCACATCTTAGGACTAAGCTTTGGACTATTCTTAGGACTTGGCTTTGGACTGAAAGTTTTCCTTTCAGGTGAGGTAAACGACTTCTTTATCATTTTAGCTTTCTGTATTTCTTCGTCTGACACAATAGTTTCATCGTTGTGCCGGCCCCTGGATCTTTTCAATGATGGACTGTGATAACGAGAGCTTACAGTAGGAAGCTGTCTTCCAGTGTCTCCAGGACTGGCTGAAAGTTTGAAATGTTAATTAATTAACAGGCAATTAGCATGTTAATGAGGGAATTATCACATGTCACTAAGGCTGAAAAACCTACATCATGTAGGTTTGATGTAAGTGTGAATGTAAGTGTGAAAAATGTCAAAAGTTTTACCCAGGATATTTAAATGATGTAATATAGTAAAACCATGATTTACCATGGAGTTTGGGGAAAAGGATACAGACTGTTTCCGAAACAGCCATGGTGAATTTGGGTGCAGGAAATCAGGGTTTTACTGTATAATGTTATTTCAGATACTACTGTTTATAATGTCAACTATTAGGATCAGTCTACGTATACAGCTGTATAATAGACTGATCTGAATTGTTGACACTGAATATGAAACAAATATCAAAATCAACTTACGTTCCCTAAGTTTGTCAAGCTGTTTTACAATAGGTTTCTTTTGAGGTGAAAGTTTCTGAGGATTTTCCTTAATGGGGTCCTCTTTTTTAATGTATGGAGTGACAAATGAGGACTGCTTCTTGCTAAGAGGTTTGAACTGTGGCTTGATTGCAGCAACTTTCTTTGTTCCAGAAGAGGTTGTTGGGAAGCTGCTTGAATCTTTGTGTTTAGCTTGCAATTGTTGTCTTGCTGCAAACATGCTCGCCTGCAATTTGATTGAAATAAAAGATATGTAAGTATCAATCTTATAAGAGGAAGAATGGTTGATCAACAGTTACAATCAGATCAAAAAATATGTCAATGGTAGAAGTTTCTCACAAGAAAGGTACAATCAGTAAAGACTGAACAAATATCCAGAACAACAGTACCACTTCAATTGATTTTACAGTTTCTTATAGTCTTATAGCCTCATATCTTACCTGATGTTGTTCAGGGGATTTCAGATCATCGCCAGGATTGGAACTCTGAGACAATCCCAATGCCGAAGATACTTCATCAACGGCAGAGGCCATGGACTACCCTGAATAATTATATTGATTAATTCACAGTCAAAACAGAAAGTTTATATCTAAAATAGAAACTACAGGGCATCCCAAATAAAGGCAAAAAAGTGATCTGTGTACCATACTGATCTGTGTACCTTACACAAGTATGGTTTGATAACTTAAATTATCATTAATTTACGGTATTATTGGAAAATCTAAAATCTATATTATAATTCGAAAGATTATGTCTGTCTGTATGTACGACCGCCCACGTGCAAATTATACGAAAAATAGAAAGTGGCATAGTAACCATGGTAACGGTGGTGAATGCACACATGCATGTGCAAAGATTGTTAAAACAGCATTTTGATTGGTTTTGTTTTTGATTGAAATAAATTTTCGTGCACATACAGAATGAATGGTTAATAATTTAATATATATGTAGACCAAGCTCTGTGCACGGGATGCTTCCTGGAAGAATCCAGTTCTTTTAACGGGGCACCCTACCTAAAGCCAAATTGAGATATAATAATCATATTCCTAGGGAAATAATCAGAAATCGAATACCAATCAAATAATATGATATATAGGAGTAGTAACCATATTTACTATGCAAAATGCCCCAACCTCATAGTGTAAATTTATATAAAATTCAAATTCCATACCACCACTAAACCCCAACAGTCAACACAACAGCCCAAGCAAAATTAAATAACTTCTTATATACTGTCATACTACAAATTAATTAAACATTTGAAATCTGTTAACCAGAGAATAAATTTCTAAACCTAATGCAAGTGAAATAATTTAGATGCAATAATGAATGCCTAATATGAGTATCATCTGTCAATGTCCTTGTAGAACAGTCTGTACAAGAGATATGAGTAACTAATATAGAAGGAAAAAAAACAGGAAGTTGTCGTCTGTTGGAAAATAAATAAAATATCTAGTATATAAATTAGAATATAAAATAACATTCGGTCAATGTGTCGTCAATAAACTGTACAATTATCAAATGTTAAAACTGTACTGGGTGATACAGTCACCAAAAATAAATACGAAGTATAATAAGTTAATAAATTAAATGTGGTTTATAAAACTACCACTGTGCAAACCCCTTCTCCAGTTAAAACATGTCAGTCATGTGTAGAATCAATCAGAATGGTAAGGTGGTAAAAAAGGGAATATCCTTTCGACACTTCAATTATATATGCCTCAGATTTGAAAGAAATAGAAGATACTTAGTTATTGTCGACTATGATTGCAGTGTAAAATTTGTCATATGAATTGTCGACGGTATAATAAGGGTCTGTTGTTATAGATGAGAGTAGCTGTTTCTTATACGAATCACTAAAGCTTTTAACATCGGGCAGATTTCGTAGATCTGTTGGAACATTATTCCAACATTTTGCCCCCAAGTATTGAAAGTTTTTATGTGATGTTGATCTATTAACATATAGGTTGCAGCTTTCGCCGCTCCTACTACCTCCTGATATGTAACTAAATTTGTTCATAAATTTGTTGTTATTACGTTGTGTTTAGAGTGTTGATTACTGTATCTGTGGTCATGTCTAATAGTATTCTTTGGTAGTCACTTTTTATCGCATCAAAAAATATCTGTCACAACCGAAGATACAGCCGATGAAAATGTAGCTCGCACTGAGCACAACTTAATTACTACTAAGTCGATCAAAATGTCGTTCGCAAATCTTTGCAAGTGCATGTGCGCGTTCAAAACTGTTACTAGGGTAACTATGCAACTTCCTTGTCCCTATTTCTCATCTAATTTACACGTGGGTGGTCGTACAGACATACATACAGACAAAAAGAATTCTTCATTTTATATAGTAGATGTATACAAATTCATGTCTGTTTGTTGACAATTATGTTAATTGTCTTAATCATAAAAAAATGGGAAAAAAGGGGGGACCCAACCCATCTAGCTGAGACACCTCACAGCAAGTAGACCAAAGTGGCTTTTGCTTGCAAACGGTGCATCAACTACCCGCCGTCTTGATCATTGTCTTCCATTGTAGGAGTTCCCACATTAGTTGGTTGACAGTGCTCAGCACAATATTCTTGACTGCTTTATTGAAGGGTGGGGAGGGAATTCCCAACACCAGTGTATTTAGTGTTTGGCTGTTTAGTGTTTGGGACATACTGTTTGGCTGCTTCAGGATGTGTTAGATCTCAGAGAAGCCCACATCTCCTCTACTGCCTTAGCAGCAGCATGAGTCCTGGTTTCCTGCCAATTTGTGTACTTCTAAAGTAAAGTAAAGTAAAGTAAAAATTATGACATAAAATCATCACACAAAGTCTACAAAGTATCAAATCACTATATAATATGGAAAGATATAAATATCTTGTTGAAATTAATAAATTATTAACTACAACTTTATTAAAAAATTTCAAATAAATTCAAAAAGCATCCCCAAAAGATAACCCTATTCATACTTCCCAGTGGAATAAAGATTAATAAATCGCTTTTTTGCCACAAAAGGATGAAACCAAAGATATTCATTATGTCTCTCCTTATTGCTTAAATAACTGGGTCCTCCAATTTTCCCTAAAACTTCATTTGAAACATTCCAAAAATAAAAATCATTTACACTGTTTTAAGAAATCATTTCTTCCTTATATCCTTCCAATATAACTTTAAAGCTTAAAACTGTCGAGCAGTTCTTGACATCTGGAGGGAGTTTGTTCCAATAAGGAATGACTCGCTCCGGAAGAAAAGAAGACTGGAGATTCTTCACTTTAGTTACACTCTTACTACATCTATTGGTTGAAACAAGATTAAGACCAGATCTGCTCATTCTGAACAAACCCGATCAATATTCAGTCAAACCACTAGTTACTTTAAAAGCTTCAATAAGGTCCCCACGTATTGGCCGCTCTGCCAGCGTTGTCAAATTGAGGAGATCCAGTCTACGGCTGTATGGAAGAGTACCCACCTCATCAATAAGACGGGTAAACCGCCTCTGGACGCTCTCCAGCTCCAAAACAGTCCCCCAACTTCCATGAGCTGCAACTGGATTCCACAATTGGACACAATAATCAAGATGAGGTCTTATCAAAGCTTTATAAATAGCCATCATTTCAACCTGTTCTCTAATAACTAAATTCCTTACAATCCAGCAGATCATACGATTTGCTTTAGAAATACATGCTTTTATCTGTTCGTTCCAAAGCAAGGAGCTATGGGTAATAATTTAAGTTAGGATTACTATTAAGATTAACATTAACTACTTTACATTCTGCAAATACCGGAACACGGAACAGTGGCGGATTTAGGACTCCAGAGATTCTCCTTTTTGAGATGGTGTTATTTTATTTAGCTTCATGGTATGAACTTTATGAAAAATTGCAGTGGACACAGCCGTATGGAATGACTTCTTTCGTAGTCTATAAAAAGAATTGCGGCCATTTTTTTCGTTTTGGCGGACTGTGCCATATTTTCCAGTACAAATCCATTGCATTTATTTACTTGTTTTTTTTCTTCGAAGCAAGAATGCTAGTTCGCGCGGCGCGTCGAAGCGGCGAAGTCCTCCAAGTTTTTAGTTCTAAAGTGAAAATCATGCAAAATAATTAAGCATGGATCATCATTGCATCTCGTTTGCCTAAAAAACATCGCAGACGTGTTGTGTAATGCACAATAATTATTACAAGTTTCATGTAATTGTATTGATATAATACAGCAAAAGCAATGCAGCTCACGTATTTGACCATTGTTAATGATCTGGCCCGGCGCGCACTACTTCGTAGCTCGTGCCGTTTCGAGAAGAAGGCGGCGCGCGTTACTTCGAAGAAATTTAGACGAGTAACATCCGTCAACTCACGTATTTATGTTTGATAAATATTGAATGATTTGCATTTCGCTGTTAACATGCTTCAAATTAAAATTTTTTAATAATATTTTTGCATTCGTTTGTTATCATAATTTAATTAAATTGGAGGGTATTTTTTATATAAATCAATCATAAAAATAAAATTGCGCGCGTCAAATTTTCACATAGCCATGTGCCTACGCGTACTGCGTGACGCGCTTGTTTCACAAGTAGGATAGGCCTCTTTTGCCGCCTACGGCGGTCGCGCGCTACTGCAAGCGAGAGGGCTCTGGTTAGAGCAACGTCAAATTTATTTTATAAACCATTCTCAGCTCGGTTAGATTAAGTTTAAAAAAATATTTCATATCAGTTATTATTTCAATTAAATCATTTTTTCAATAATCGATTCAATTTTAAATTTTAAGTACTTTTGCTATCAATTTTTAAAATGCCGAAATTTTTATTGTGCCGCGCATGTTCATAAAATTGATAAAAAATATGTTTTAAAATCGAGCGCTAGTAAGAAATTTATTTTGACTCGATCTCATGACTTGAATGGTGTTGTATTTTGGCATTCTCTTATTTCCTCCAAAAGAGCATCATGTGACTTGACTGAACGAATTAATTTATTTAGTTATTTTATGAAAAGGAAATCTGACTAAGGCAAATCGTATGATTTGTTGGATTGTAAGGAATTTAGTTATTAGAGAAAAGGTTGTTATGATTGCTCATTGCTATATATAAAGCTTTAATAAGACCTCATCTTGAGTATTGTGTCCAATTGTGGAATCCACCTGCGGCTCATGGAAGTTGGGGGACTGTTTTGGAGCTGGAGAGCGTCCAGAGGCGGTTTACCCGTCTTATTGATGAGGTGGGTACTCTTCCTTACAGCCGTAGACTGGAAATCCTCAATTTGACAACGCTGGCAGAGCGGCGAATACGTGGAGACCTTATTGAAGCTTTTAAGGTAATTAATGGTATGACTGATTATGGTTCAGACTTGTTCAGACCAAGCAGATCAGGTCTTAATCTGGTTTCATCCAATAGATGTAGTAAAAGTGTGACTAAGGTCAAGAATATCCAGAAGTCTTTTCTCCCGGAGCGAGTTATTCCATATTGGAACAAACTCCCTCCGGACGTCAAGAACTCTGTGACAGTTTTAGGTTTTAAAATTAAATTAGAAGGATATAAGATAGATATGATTTCTAAAAGTATTA